ATGATGATATTGGAAAAAAAAAACGACATTAAAATATCGTTCTCGGTGTAATATTTTCGATTTTCAACCGGAGAACCATGATTTTTAAAAATTTTTTTTTTGTTTTTTTTCATCATTATTTTAATTATTACAAAAACTTCATTCTAATTTCTATATTATAATTGTGCAGCCTTTTTCCAATCCATTTGAAATTGACAAGTATTTGAATTACACGCTCTGGCTGATTGTATATATATATATATATGTAAAGAAAGTATAATAAATGTTTAATATAAATACATAATATATTATATAGAAGTAACACATGTGTTTTATTTCTTTTTTTAGTTTAGCAATATTATTGTTAAACTGAAATTTCAATAATAATAATTAGGCATTCGTCCGACAATAATGATAACAATGATAATAATAATAATAATAATAATAATAATAATAATAATAATAATAATAATTTAATTTATTGAATCAATAATATCGGTATATAGAAAACGTTTATTATAAATACCAGTACAAAAATGTAGGTGTGTATTGTTCCTCAGTATTATTTATTTATATTATTATTGTTATATAATATATAGGTTTTTTTTTTTTTTTTTTACAAAAAGCTTGCATTTTTCATTCGTATATAATGTATAATGTATGAACTGTTTTATGAACTGTTTTATATCGAGAGGCGTTTAAAATTTCGTTGGACAAAACCGTTTGAATGACGGGCGAGAAAAAAAACTAATGGACAATATTTCATAATATGCGTTAAATTCAATAAATATAGATAGGTACGTTTTATAATATTTTAAGAAAAAAAAAAAAAAAAGGACAATACAAATATTGAATGTAATTAAATACGATACTCGAACCTACGGCGGACTGCAGCAATGACGAAAACTACAATCCAATACCCATTAATATAAATACATAACAGTATGTGTTGGAGCGCAATATTGTTACTATTTAGCGAAATTGGAACGAATTCTGCTGGGAATTAGAAGGGAATTTTATAAAACGATTGGACAGTCGACTGTATACGATGATGTAGAGCCATAAGAAGTGTACGAAATCAGTGCAGCAGCCATCGTGTACCGATGAGAGGGCAAATCGCATTCATTAACCCGTGAAATACATGGATATATATGGAAATAAACACTCGCGTCAGCAAAATTACTAGGTTTCCCTATTACCGCTGTATAACGGGATATTTTAACGCCCAAACACATTTACCCCCGCTCCCTCGGTAAGCTAATCCCAGGAATTTATTTATCCCCGTTAAAAATAACTTCTGATATATATTACCATCCCTCAGGAAAAATGTAAGGCGGTAGATACGTTATAGTATAAATTTATCCCGGTAAAAATACCCGATAATATTTGTATAAATATATGCCATTGAATATTTACCCCTTTTGATTTGTCCGAGAGGGTAAATATATCCGGGGATATATTTACCGAGGGGAGGGGAAGGTAAAATTTATCGAGGTAAAAATATACCGTCACGCCGGTACCCAGGGGAAACGTCCCAGAAGCCTGACGGTTACGGGCATGCGGATTCTTCCGGGCTCGGGCGGTACGAGGTTTTTTACGATTCTATACCGAAACCAGAAAAGGAGTGGGGGGGGGGAAAACACTTCGCGCATCCTTTGTCGACCGCGATCGAAACGAACCCGACGTCGGAATAACGAACCGTTTCTTTTTCCGCGACGGTGCGACCTATGGTGTTCCGGAACCGTGCGGGACACGTTTTCGCATCGGGCGCGAAACGGTTTTCGCCGGCCGCGCGACCGCCAGTTATCCGGCGTTTATTTCGGTCACGGGTTAATCGATGAAATCGGCCCTCTCGGCACCTACACGGCTCCGGCGGCACTTTCCGTTCGCTCGCACGACGATAACAATAACAACAACAACAACAATAATAATAATAATAACAATAATAATAATAATGATAATGCACAACACGCTGCGGCGGTTCCCGCAGTTCGACATTGGGCACGGACCGCTATCGTAAATTTTCCGCCGCCGCGGACCACTCAGTTTCACTGCTGCCACCCGTTTCATTTTGTTCCCGTTTCGCGGTATTCACGATCCACGCGCGCGATACGCGTGACAAAATGTCGGCAATACTGCCGTACGCCGCGGCCACCAACTAGTGACCGGCCCCGCGGACCGCTGTTCGAGTAGCCGAACCCGCGGGCCACGGGTCCGGGAACCACCGGCGGAATGTGGAACCGACCGACGCTAATCGTTTTGTATCTACGGCGGCGGCGCGTCCGCTGCCTGTACGCGTGCGCGCGCTGTCGTCATTAATATTTTTCGTAAAAAAAAAAAAAAAAAAAAAAAAAAAAAAACACGTCGTAAACGCGTTTGTCGTGTTATTGTTATTTGCGATACCGTGCGTCGTCGCGCGTAAAACGCCGGAGTAATACCGATTGCCGCCTCTGCGCCACCCGTTAGTGTGTTACGACTCTCCGACCTATCTATAATATATTAACAATAACAATAGTAATAATAATAATAACAATAATAATAATTGTTATTATCGTACAAATGTCGTAATGTCGAGCAAGCGTGATTACAGCAATAATACAGCATAATACTATTGCAGTCGAGACGTTTACCGCGTTTTTATTACGCCCCTATCGATTTAGACCGTCTTGTGTTATTGCGATATTATTGTACGGGCCTCGGGTTCAACGGCACACACGCTCATCCCCCGATACACCTATAAACGGGCGCCCGACGGTTATTTACCGTTACTCTCAATCAGAACTTGTACAATTATTTTGTTATTATATGTTTTTTTTTTTTTTTTTTTTTTTTTTTTTT